GACGGTTACCGATCAAACATAGGTTAATTAAAGAGAAAATAAAATAATCATTAAAAGATTTTGTTTAAAAAAGAAAATCTTTTCATGAAATTAAATTAACAAAAGAAATCTTGCAGTTGAAGAGATCATATACACATTTGCCTTGATAAAGAATAAAAAATCTCAAACCACTTGAAAGTCTTTTATTTTCAAATTTTGCCTACTCAAAATTCCCCAAAAAGAGTTGTGTTTTAAAGCTTTAACTATATCAACATTTTATAAAGTTTACATTCTTAAAGTATAAACAAAAGACGTACAAACAGCCCCTTTAAAATTCTTTAAAAAAAATGCATCACTTTAGAGTTTAGAAATTTACACTTTTTGTTTTTAACCTAAAAAAATTTATGGAAAGTGTTAGAGAAGTTATATTTTAAAGACCTTAGTTTATCAAAAAGTACGGTTTAAGGGTTGATACATATTCATTATAAAAAAGGGTCCAACTTCATTGCAACACAATGCTTTCTCAAACTAACAAACGAGTTAAGCAGCAAAAGGAACTTAATTTAAAGGTCATTATTCTAAGGCAAATTAATATATTAAATCAAATATCTAAAGGAGGGGAAGGTGAGCAACTAGGTTTGCTAAAGTTCTTAGTTATTTTATATAAGTTCAAACATAAATTGAAACAAAACATAAATATAGGTGCCAAAAGAAACTATAAAACGTTAGTCAAAGATAACAACATATATGTATGTAAAGCTTTGAGATAAGGATGGAAGTGCGGGATTTTCTTTTGGAATGAGTGAATCATTCTAGACACGAGCTAAATGCAAGATTGGTCGCTTCTCTAATTTGGATAGAGGTGGTGTCATATTGCAACTCCATACACGCTCCCGAGTGTACATGTAAAGAAAGGTAACAAAGAAAATTAGAAAGACAAATGCATTAAAGTGAAACACTCACACACATAACCACATAAACAAATACTTCTAAATTTCTAATCCTTAAAACATAAAACAAATCAATTCATGTAGCATAGTAAAATAACATATGTAAAATCATATTTAAGGTAAAGATTAATACTTTAACACAGCTATGCTTATCCCAACACCAATCATACATAGAGTAACTTCTAATATGCATTAAAGTTTCTGCTGTAAATTTAAACAAAATCATAGGCGCATTTGAACCAAGTCGAATCAGTTTTGACCTAATAAATAATTAAAGATACGATCCGCAAGTCGGAATAAAATTATCATGTAGTTGTAAAGAAAAATTTTGGAATAGCATGCGTTTATAATGAGACACAAATACTGGCAAACAAAGTCATGTACTTTAACTCAACTGAAGAAGTATACATTTTCACTAATAACTCGTCAGAACAAGCTTTCATAAAGGACTAGACATGATCTGAGCAACTTGGACATTATCGCTTACACATACAAGCATACACTAAATATATTAATGACAAATTTACTTACAAGTTGTTCCTATCTGTTAGAGCTAGTTACTTTCAATTTAAGAGTGCAGGGGAACAATCAAATATAATGTAAATTATGAATAATTACAGCAATGCTTTCCAGAGAAAATCAAAACGAAGTGTTAAATATATACATCCTAAGGCCGACTTCATTTTTATAATGAATTAACTTAAAACAACCCTTTTTATAAATCATAATCATATAAGAGAACTCTCATATGAAGAAAGATCTTAAATCCTACGCACAAACAAGCTGCAACACACTCTGAAACCGCAAAGAAACACTACTTTTAAGATCGTATGTACATAAATAAATAAATTTGTTAAAACAATCAGATTTAAAGGTCACTGACATGTTTTGGGGCAGTGAACTGGGGCATTTTTTGAACTTCCGGTCTACACCCTTTAGCGAATAAAAGTGAGACTAATTAGGGAAATTTAAAATGCAAAGTATTGAAAGCTCCGAGAAGGACGAATCAAGAAGGAACTTAAAATGTTATGAAACTTGCGGGTGAAGAGGGCGACCTCCAAAACCTGTTGAAGCTTGTCCCAAACCTAATATTTATAGCATTGGAAGATTAGTGCTCTTAGTTTGGGTGGGATTTTGAATTTCAAATTGGTCAAAGAAATATGAAAAATTTTTGAACTTTTGGGGTAGTTTTAAGCAGACTTGCAAGCTTCACATGATTGATAAGCATATATCACAAAAATGGAGTAGTTGAGAGTTGTCAATGGCTGATAGACCTTGTTGTTTTTCTGAAAATGGGAGGGAAGAAGAGAGGCAGGGCGGTTGTTGTTCTCTCAAGATTAGGTCAAAATTTGGGCTGAAAAAATTGCTTTTGGGCTGAATTTTTGGGCTATTTTGATATTAAACAACGGTTGAAATGTTTTGATCTCTTTTGGAGGCTTTGGACCGAAATTTGGGCTTTTTTAGGACAGATTTTTATGTAACAAATGGGATGAAACGCTGGCCTGAATTGTGGGCCTTTTCCTTCTTCTTTTAAATTATTTATGGCTTCTAACTTGATAACTAATACAATATATAGTAAGACAACACTAATAATATTACAACTTTACACTTATATAAAATAAAGATACAAAAATATCGACTTATAATTAATTTAATAAAATACGAAACTTGAAATAAACTGACGACAATCTATTATTTAAGGAAGAGAGGTATAAAAAGTAATATTAGTAATTTTGATAATAAAACTAAGAATTTTAGAAGATAAATAGTCGTAGTAGTAAAAATAGTTGTGAAAAAGGATAATTTTATACTTTATTAAATTAGAAGCTCGAAAATAATAAATTAGAAGAAAGGAGGGTCAAAATTGGGTGTCAACAGCTTGTCTCTCTTTGACCAGAGACGGTGTAAGAGTTTTTGGGCAAAGAAGTTGACCTAGAAGCCATTTTTTTCCTGACCAACAAATGCATCAAAGTTTTCCCCGGTGTGAATTATTATGTTACCGGTTAGTGTGATTGAGGAGAGTATTTGAGAGTGGAATCGAGCAGAGTTCGAGGTAGACCTTTAACCTCTGTTGGAAAGCTAAAATTTCTCAACAAATTACCCCAGTTCACTGCTTAGATAAAGTTCCACATTGTTCTACAGCTCCTGCAGAACTCAAACTTGAAAAAACAGTTAATATTATTAACCATAAAGCATGGTGAGATAAACACATGAAAATAACACCACCTGGATCTGAATTTATGAAAATGCGACCTTGCAAGCCGAAATGATTTAATGAGATAAAATCTTGCAAAAAAAGAAAAAAAAAGTTTAAGGGCGATGATTCATGAGGAATGGTGCTTTTCAGCGATGATTAATGAAAATAGGGGCCTTAACCAAATAAATTATGGATATGAGGCTTTTAGCCAAATGATTTAAGAATGAAACTTTTTAAGCCTAGTGATTTATGAAAAGGAAGTCTTTGAAAGCAACGCATTCTGGTAAAGCGTTTGTGCAGTATATTGAAAAGCATCTATGCAATCAACTAAGGACATTCGTGCAATGCATTAGAAAGCGATCGAAAGCCATGTAGAATTCCTTTTAAATACTTGAAAGTATTAGTGCATTTGGAAATATGCATTTGTGCGGTGCATTTGAAAATAGCTCAAAGTTTTTGTGCAGTGCGCTTGAAAACATTCTAAAGAAATTATGCAGTGCATTTGAAAATCAGAAAGCATTTGTGCAGTGCACTTGAAAATATTTGAAAGCATTTATGCAATGCACTTGAAAATATCAGAAAGAATTTGTGCAGTGCGCTTGAAAATATTTGAAAGTATTTATGCAGTGCATTTGAAAATATCAGAAAGCATTTGTGCAGTGCATTTAAGAGTATTCATGCAGAGCAAAAACATACGCAATATGTTTTAAAATATTTGTGCATCAATATGTTTGAAACTTTTGTAAAACTTCACTTGTAAGTTTAAAATCATAAATTTATAAGTAAATAATTCAAACCACTCGACATATAGTCCTTTCGATGCTATAGATGTCATTGACTTCTCAGCTTCTATTAATCCTGATATACCTGCACTCAAAGAAAAATTTTAAGCTCTGGGGGAGGTTGATTTGCATTGACTTGGAAGTTCTGGCTCTTCATACTTCTTTCTTCCAGCTTTGCTTGGACTCATAACCTCCGTCCATTTTAAATCTTGTTTAAATGAATAACAAGAAAATAAATAAAAAGAAAACATTTGATTGAAACTCATATTTGAAAATAAGATAAAATTATATACGTATATATAGCAAAAAAGAATTTTGTCGAACTTCAAATTGTGACATGTCATGAAACAAAGCGAGTGTCCTTTACCTGAAGTCTTTCTTCTGTCGGATGATTCGATTGACCATATACTCTTTAAATATCTTGATATCTTCTTACAATGATGCCCTTAATATTTGTTCCAGTTTTTTTGTGAAAGAGATACGCTGTCCTTTGGTCCCGATGATACTGAACCTCCTATAGGATGCACACTATTCTATCAAGGCACCAAGCCAAACATAACCTAAGGATATAATTAAAATTGAAACACAGGGGCCGAACCCTCGTCGGGTTGCCTACATATCCGAACGATATCAGGCCATACGTAGCTCGCTACATACAAAGAAATGAAAAAATGAAAAAAATTCTTAATAAAGTGACTGAAGCCGATATAGGCCGCCTACGTATCCCACCGAGGGTATCAGGCCAAGCGTAGTTCATATTACATAGAAAGGAAATTTTACAAAACCTATTAAAAGACCAAATCCGATGTGGATTTCCTACGTATCTCGCCATGGGAATCAGGTCAAGACGTAGTTCCAATACATGACAAAAAGATTACAAAAAAATGAAATAGAAACCTCTAGATGTAGTATCTTTTAACCGCATTTGCATTGATAGCTTTTGGCCATATCTTACTATCCATTTCTGCTAAAATCAAAGCTCCTCCAGTCAGTACTCGGTGAACCATGTAAGGTCCTTACCAATTAGGTGCAAACTTCCCCTTAGCTTCATTTTGGTGCGGGAATATTCGCTTCAACACCAATTGTCCAGGTTCAAACTGTCTCAATCTTACTTTCTTGTTGAAAGCTTTGGCCATCCTTTGTTGATAAAGTTGCCTGTGACAAACTGCATTCATTCTTTTTTTCATCAATGAGCATCAATTGTTTATACCGGTTTTGCATCCACTTGGCTTCACTTAACTCAGTTTCTTGGATGATCCTCAAAGATGGTATCTCAACTTCCATTGGTAGCACTGCTTCTGTTCCATAAACCAAAAGATAAGGTGTTGCCCCAGTCGAAGTCCTGATTGTGGGGCGGTAGCCAAGGAGGGCAAATGAAAAAATCTCATGCCAATGCTTGTAGTTATCTGTCATTTTCCGCAATACCCTCTTGATATTTTTGTTTGCAGCCTTAACTGCTCCATTCATCTGAGGTCGATAAGGAGTGGTATTGCGGTGAATAATTTTGAACCTCTTGCATATCTCATGCATCAAGCCACTATTGAGATTAGCTCCATTATCTGTAATAATTGACTCGGGGATCCCAAATCTACCAATGATGTTATTGCGAACAAAATATGTCACCACCTTCTTTGTCACAGACTTGTGTGAAGATGCTTTTACCCACTTTGTGAAGTAATCAATAGCTACCAGAATGAACATGTGTCCATTTGAGGCGGCTAGCTCAATAGGGCCAATGACATCCATGCCCCAAGCTGCAAATGGCCAAGGAGAACTCGTCACATGTTGCTCATTCGGTGGAACCCGAATCAAATCACCATGAATCTGACATTGATGACACTTTCTCACAAAACGAATGCAGTCTGTTTCCATGGTCATCCAAAAATATCCTGATCGTAGAGTTTTCTTTGCCAAAGTAAAACCATTCATGTGTGGGCCACATGTACCCCCATGTATTTCTTCAATCAACTTGCTTGCCTATTGAGAGTTAACACATCTTAACAATCCCAAATCTGGAGTCATCCTATAAAGAATTTCTCCACTTAGGAAAAAGTGATTTGCGAGTCTCTGAAGGGTCCTATTTTGAACATTGTTTACTCTTTCTGGATAGTCTCTTTCTCTGAGATACCTCTTAATGTCATAGTACCAAGGTTCTCTATCCGGTTCTTCATCTACATGGAAACAATAAGCTGGTTGATCCTGCACATTGACCTTAATTGGATCTATATAGTTCTTGTCTGGATGTTGAATCATAGAAGCCAGGGTTGCCAACGCATTTGCAAACTCGTTCTGATCTCGAGGAATATGCTTGAATTCTATCTTGACAAATTTCTTGCACAATTCTTTCACACACAGCAAATATGGGAGTATCTTCACATTCTTGGTGCTCCATTCGTCTTGAACCAGATGAATCAACAAGTCGGAATCACCTACAACCAACAATTCTTGTATATTCATGTCAACAGCCATTCTACACCCAAGAATACAAGCCTCGTACTACGCCATATTATTTGTGCATAAGAATCTTAACTTTGTTGAGTTAGGATAAAGTTGACCTGATTCTAAAATCAACACTGCTCTAGCATTGACTCATTTGGAATTCGCAACACCATCAAAAAACATTCTCCACCCGGGATATTCTTCGAAAATATCCTCTCCAATAAATAAAACCTCTTCATCAGGAAAATAAGTTTTAAGAGGCCTGTACTCTTCATCCACGGGATTTTCGACAAGATGATCAGCTAGCGCTTGTCACTTCATAGCTTTTTGAGTGACATAAACAACGTCGAATTCACATAGCAAAATTTGCCACTTCGCCAACCTTCCAGTGGGCATGGGCTTCTGAAATATATACTTGAGTGGATCCATCCTTGAGATGAGAAAAGTGATATACGCACATAAATATTGTCTTAACTTTTGTGCAACCCAAGTCAAAGCACAACAATGGTGCTCCAATAAAGTATACCGAGCTTCATAAGGAGTGAACTTTTTGCTTAAGTAATATATAGCTTGATCCTTCTTTCCAGTTTCATCATGTCAGCACACATCCAAATGTATTGTGAGACACCGACAAATACAACAACAATGGTCTTCCAGATTCTGGGGGCACCAAGACCAGTGGACTAGATATATACTCCTTGATTCTATCAAAAGCTTTTTGACAATCTTCCATCCATTTGGTTGCAGCATCTTTCCTCAGCAACTTGAAGATTGGCTCACAAATTACAGTGGATTGTGCAATGAATTGACAAATGTAATTGAGGTGACCAAGAAAACTCATCACATCCTTTCGACTTTTTGGAGGAGGCAAGTCTTGAATAGCCTTTATCTTTGAAGGATCCAGCTCTATCCCTTTCCTACTCACGATGAAACCCAACAGCTTTCCGGCAGGGACACCAAATGCACACTTTGCGGGATTTAACTTCAGATTATACCGCCTTAATCTGTCAAAGAACTTCTTCAAATCTGTTATATGATCTGAGCTCTTCCGTGACTTGATGATGACATCATCCACGTGGACTTCAATCTCCTTATGGTTCATATCATGAAATATGGTAGTCATAGCTCTCATCTATGTTACCCCTGCATTCTTGAGTCCAAAAGGCATTACCCGATAACAATATACTCCCCAAGGCGTGATGAAGGCGGTTTTCTCTGCATCCTCTTCATCCATTAAAATCTGATGATATCCTACAAACCAATCAACAAATGACTGCAACTCATACTTTGCATAATTATCGATAAGTATGTGAATGTTTGGGAGAGGAAAATCATCCTTCGGGCTAGCCTTGTTGAGATCTCGATAATCTACGCATACTCTAATTTTTCCATCTTTCTTTGGCACTGGTACTATATTGGCCAACCATGTGGGATACTTGGTGACTCGGATGGCATCGGCATCAAATTGCTTGGAGACTTATTCCTTAACCTTTAAACTCAAATCAGGCTTGATCTTTCTCGGCTTTTGCTTTACTGGGGAGGCAAGAGGGATCAATTGGCAACCTGTGTTAAACAATATCCGTGCTTAGACCCGGCATATCATCATAAGACCATGCGAACACATCCATGTATTGTCTCAAAAGATCAATAAGTTCTTTTCTTAGGGATGGAGTCAAATGGACACTAATTCTTGTTTCCCTCACCAATTCTGATGAATCTCCCAAATTTATCATCTCAGTTTCATCCAAATTTGGCGTCTCTTTATTCTCAAAATGTTCAAACTCCTTGGTCAACTCTTCAGGCTGCACATCTACTTCATACTTTGTAAAAGTTTGTTCATTGTTCGGGGTTTGTTCACTCATTTCATTACAGGTCACATTCTCGGTGTAGACAGATTTATTAGTTTGCTCGCTGAAAGAGAGAAAAGAAATAAAAATAAAATAAATAATCAAGAACAAATTTTAAAATTTAAAGCAGAAAAAAGGTAACATAGATTTGGCATTTAAGCTTTCAAAAGATGGAGGCAAAACACATCAAATTCAAAAACACGATTCAGGCCTCAATTTGAATCATGTTGTTTTGTTAATTCTAATACAATCATCTACCAAGATTCCTGGAGAATCGGGGACGGGTTACAAGTCCAATTGTTCATAGCATCTCCAGGCATAGCATCTCATATGGTCGAGGCCTCAGTTCAGTCCTCTAAAATGATATTGCATTCAGCTTCTTCAATGAACAAGTTTTTGAGTCCTTTTGTGAGGTTATCTTAACAGCTTCTTCTAATCCTTGTGCAGCAAACGCTTTGGAAAATGATTGATTGAAGAGTGGGATAGGTTGTGGTAAGGGAATGTCACTTTTCCTTCTGAGATTAGCCGATGAGACTTCTTCAGGAGTAGGCTCGTATCTAAAGACCAAAGGTGTATTTCTGACCAGGCAATTGGTTCACTATTCCATCCAATTTCGCTCCAAGACCTTGACCCGGGATAAAACCATTCTTCAACATTTCCCAAGCCACCATCATGAGCACACATGGCAAATTTGCCTTTCCAGCTTGAGTAGCACAGATAATTTCCCTAATATAGAATATGGACCCATCCAACTCTTCCATACTTTCAATAATAGGGATTGAATTTTCAGGATACATTGAGTTGTTACCTTTTCCATGAACAATAATTTACTGATGGTTCCAAACAAATTTCAAAGTCTGGTGCAAAGTGGAAGGGACCGCACCAGCCATATGAATCCATGGCCTTCCAAGTAATAAATTATAACTAGCAGATATATCCAACACTTGGAATTCCACAATGAACTCCACAGGTCCAATTTGCAATGGCAGATCAATTTCTCCAATGACTCCCCTTTGTGTCCCGTCAAAGCCCCTAACCCTTACATGACCTTCACGAATCTTTCCAATGTTGATTCCCAACGCTCGAAGAGTAGTGAAAGGCCATATGTTAACAGCTGAACCATTATCAATAAGAACTTTGGAAATAAACTTATCCTTACATCTGACAGTAATGTTCAACGCTTTGTTATGTCCCAAATCTTCAGACAACAACTCATCTTCATGAAAGGTGACTTTGTTAGATTCTAAAACTTGTCCTACCATGGCAGAAAAGTTTTCACTAGTGGTCTCAGCTGGAACATAAGCTTCATTTAAAACCTTCACCAAAGCATTCATATGAGTTAAAGAATTCATCAGTAAGGCCATTAAGGAAATTTGAGCCGGAGTTTTCTTCAGTTGTTCAACAACTGAATATTCCTTAGTTGGAATCTTCCTCCAGAAATCTTCCACTTCAGCCTCTGTCACAACCCTTTTTTGGTTGTTTTCCTTTTTTGGTTGTTTTCCTTGTTTGGTCCTCCTCGTACAGCTTCTTCAGAGGCATAACGACACCCGAATCTTGTCATTCCTGTAGCAGCGACTTCTACAACTATCTTTCCCTTTCCTTTGTCCCTTGCATCAATCAAGTAATCCCAAGGAACTGCTTTAGTGTCAAAAGGGGATGATTGAGCGACAAGGGCCATGATCTTAGGCTTGGGAAGAAAAACTTTCACTTCAATTGGCGCTCGTACTTGAACTGTGATTTTGGGAGAAATAAAGGCCGAGGTCTCAACATTCTTCTCTATCTTGACTGGTACTATGGTCCCTTCCAAGTTGCAATCTTCATCAACGGTGATCATGTAAACACTGCCACGATTTGGCAGTGGGTTGTTTTTTACATTGGGGCAACACCTTTGAGTTGAATAATTCCTTCTTTGATCAAAGCCTCAATCTTGTCTTTGAAACTAAGGCAACTTTCAGTATCATGTCCAGCAGCTCCAGAGTGATATGCCCAGTGCTTGGTCTCGTCATACCATCCAGGAATGGGATTGGGAATTCGTCCTTAGATTGGTTGGAGTATTCATGTGGTTCTCAATCGTTCATATAGTTGGGCTAAAGGTTCAGCTAAAGGTGTATAAGTTTTGGCTGGTCTTTTTTCAAAGTTTGGGTGGGGTCTAGGTGCATTTGATGGACGGTTTTGTAGTTGGTAGTGGGATTGGGATGGATATTTGGGTTGGCATTGTGATGGATTTGGATAGGCAGGTGCTCTAGGTGGACAATACGTTGGTTGGGTGGTGTAAACTGGATAAGGGGAAGGTGAAGGTTGATAAGAGGATTGAGGAATTTGGGTACACTTAATATAGTATGAATATTGGAGTAATGGGTTTTGGTAGGTTAACATTTGGTTTAGCCTACGTTCGTGGATGGTCATGACAGCAGACACACCGTCCTTCTTTTTCTTATGGGCTCCTCCGATTGAATCCAATTGAATGGCCTTACTTGTTGCTTGCAGGGCTGCCAAATTAGTGATTCTCCCAGTTTTAATACCTTCTTCAATGAATTCTCCCTTCCTAACAACCTCAAAGAACTTTTGTCCTACAACACTTATCATCTTTTCATAGTACGTTGCATCTTTTTGGGATTGTACAAAAAGAGAGGTCATCTCACTTTCTGCCATTGGAGGTTGAACTTTTGTGTCATCTGCTCTCCACCGCATCGCATACTCTCTGAATGACTCTGTTGACTTCTTTTCCAACCTCATCAAGTAGAACTTGTCCGAAATAGCCTCAGTGTTAAACTTGAAACTATCCATGAATTCTTGCACCATCGCACCCTAACTATTCCATTTTTGTGGGTCCCAACTAGTATACCAATCAAGGGCCTCTCCCGTCAAGCTCCTTGTAAACAACTTCATTCTAATGGCCTCATCTTTCCCCACTCCAACTAACTTGTCACAATACGACCTCAAATAAGCTCAAGGATTTCCCTTCCCATCAAATAAATCAAATTTTGGTACCTTATACCCCATGGGTAATTCAATATCGGGATGAACACATAAATCCTCATATTCAAGACCTTCAACCCCACTATGGACTTGGATACTTTTGAAAGCTTCCTTCAAATTACGAATCTCCCTTGCTACATTGTCATTTGTTTTTTACCTTGCTTCTTTCTCCATCTCTTCATATAGATCGACTTCTGGCATGGT